GTAGAGCTTGTAGGAAGCGAAGGGAGGAGTCACCACTCGGGGAAGAAGACCGGAGCGAAGACCACTTGAGGGGAAGAGAGAAACACTTCCATCCTCAATGTCACACAATACAGTATACGGTTAGCACTCAGTTCCTTATTCCGTACTATACAGAGTAACCAACTCACCAATTTTTCGGCCAGTTCTTGCCTAGTTCTTCTTCTACGCTTGCTAGTCTAGAACTGGCCGAAAATTTGGTGAGCGTACGGGCGACGTAGTGGTGCGCTTCACCAGTCATTTAGGCGCGAACGCAGATTGCCCAGACCCATCAGATTCAACGGAATACTCGAAGTAAAAGGATATACGACGAAAGTCACGTCACATTTGCCCAATGAAATCATGACATTTTATCAGCCGGTGGGCACATTGTTGTTTTTCTACGACAAATTGCAGTCTATATGTACCTGGTCACAGCGTTTTCGCTACATCCCATTGCGGACGGCTTGCAATGCATTAAGTTTCGAAAGGTGGCAGCTATAGTTTAATAAAGATAAGCATTTACTTTGTATTATACAGAATATCGTGAAGCGGGCATAGGGTTAAGGTAAAATGTATTGTATGTGAAAGAAAAAAGTAAATAAGATTATGTGATGTAGATTGTGGAGTTAAGTGTAAAGGTCAGATATTTTTAAAATTGAGGGTTATTGTTATAATAAAGAAATATTGGAAAATAATTTTTGTAAAAAAATGAAAAAGTGATTATATAGTATAAAAGTTAAATGTGAAAAAAGGAAATTAATAAAAGTGTGATATAATAGGGGGGGGGGGGGTCGAACCTTAAAAAATAATCCAAATTTGTGAGCATAACCGTGTCGTGATTGTGATGTGGTTGTTGATCGAAATTTGAGCACAAAAAAGGAAAGGGGGAGTTGATCTAGAGCACATACCTCGTACTTAACGATACGATACCCCCCCCTTTTTTTTCAGTTGTTGACGGTCACCATGCCGAAGCTAAGCGAACGCCAGCAGTTTCTGCGAGAGATCACGGGGATGCTTACTGTATTTGCGCTAGAGGAAGAAGATGGAGATGATGCTGCAGCTGTAACTACGTCAACGGGTTGTAGTGGCGACGGAGATGACGAGAACCTTCTCTTCAGTGACGCCGATGACAAATTGTCAGGGACCTCCATCCAAGTCACAATGATCCCGTAGTCGTCTTGCGCAAGATGGACATTTCGATTCAATCCATCCTCTAACTCGACCATCCTGCCACTATCGA